ATGAAAGCCAGGTTCAACTTGTGCCGTTTGCGTGGGAGCTCTGAAAAGGAGTGTGTGTCTTGCCAGCGAGTATGTCTTTTTCAAAGTGCTCCTGAGAAGGGCACTTGGTTCGACAGAACATATGGCATAAATATTATTAATTCATAATGAAGCAAAATTTAAACCAAAGTGAAAAGGAGAGAGAGAGAGAGAAAGAATCATTGTTAGCAAGAGAAAATGCTTGGTGTTAAATTTAGCTGGCAAGACTGAACATACTCAGATAAATCTAAAAGCAGAGACTGTCATCTTTTACGATTAAGTTGCTGTTGGGATTTCTTGGTACATTTTAAAAGGAAAAATCTATTAAGGTTCGTGCAATATTTTCTCCATTCCTTCCTGCATCCTTAATTACTATAGACGTTTGTCGGGTGGGGAGGGAGAGGGATTTGGAGAGAGACTCATTGTGGGAGTCGCCTGCTCTGGCCGCCTGTTCTCAGCTCTAGTCACAGGGTCAAGGTAGCCCCGCTCACAGTGCTCGCTAAAGGTGCGCAGATCGGGAATGCAGGCTGCAGGACCTAATAGCCTTGAACATCACAAAAATTGGTTTTTCATGCAAATGCCTTTATTCGAAGAGAACAAAGGGATGGAAAATCAGAAAGCCTATCACATAGAGACAGATTTGTAGCGAGATTTTGGACACTATCCAGTTCTGGTCTGAGAGCATTCGACGGGTCTTTGCTCTGGCCTATTTCCTTTCTGAGGTTGTACGTTCACAGGGCAGGTCCTCTTTACATGCACCTTCTTCTTCTCACGCCAGAGGTCATGCGCTGAGGGCCTCCACGGGCAGTCATGCTTTGATGGAAACCACGGAGCATGGAGTGTTTAAAATTATTTTTTGAATTGCCAATATTTCTATATGGGTATTGAGATTTCACAGAAAAATCAGTATGTCTAGCTTCTTTTGAAAAATCAAAGCTCTGGTGACACCAAGCTCCACATCAGCCTTCTCTTTAGACGGGTCTGTGCTCTCCAGTCCGCAAGCCCTGCCCCGCCACCCTCTCACATCCAGCCCCTATGCTCCCTGCTGTTCTCTCTAGGTTATTGAGATTGTGATTCTTTTTTTTTTCCTTTGGTTTTTTAAAGTTTGCTATAGGGCGCATGCACCGAATGTGAAGGGAGAGAGAGAGAAAAGAAATTACCCCTCTCCGCGGAAGGGAGCCACACTGAATCCCTTCTGCATTCCCCTCTCGGGATTGTGGACACACGTGTGCACATGCCTGGCATGTTTTTCAAGCCCCTGAGTCTAGCAGAGTCAGCCATGTGGGATCCAGCTGCCCCCCCACCACGCCACCTTTTGGCCCAGACCGTGGTTCTTTTCTTATGGAATGCTGCTTTTTCCAATCCTCTGCCCCATATTATGTTTTGGTGAATTTTATTTATTTATTTATTTTTTAAGTTTTAGAGAGGTTTTTGCCATAGGGCGTGTGTACTCACCAGAAAGACAGAGAGAAACAGAGACAAAAAACAAGAAATCACCCCCCAGGGGGGATGGCCACGAAGCAAACCCTCCTCCTCCGTTCTCCTCTCGGGATCTTGGGCACGCACGCACGCCCGCCCACGGGCCCAGTGTGAGTTTAAGCCACTGGGTCCGGGACTCGAATCACAGTCGACTACATGGGAGTCCAGCGACATAGCCATTACGCTAACTGCTGGTCCCAAAAGAGCGTAGCTAGTCAAGTAAGGATGAGGGAGGGAGACAATGTTAATCAGCTTAACAATAACCCACAATCCTCGGATCAACCGAATTTTATTAAAAATAAAAAGGAAGGAAGCATTTCAGTTCCTGCCTAATGATGTCTTTCCTGACTTCTACACCAGGGCCACACACCAGATCCATTTTTAGGCTCTCTTTGCCTTCCTGCCTGACCAATTCCAGCTTATGCCAGTCTAAACCCTGCCTCCTCTCCGGTGCCTTGATTCCAGCACAGACATGCATGTCCTGTTCTGTGCTTAGACACTTAAAACAAGTCCTGCCGGGGAGACCTGGGGCCGCTGCGTGGAGACTCTGCCGAAAGACTGCATTTAATGATTGGTTCAGTGTGTGCTGTTACGCTGAGGCCCTCGAGGGCTGGCAGGGTTCCCTTATTTGTCTTTGAATGTCCTGTGTAAGGTTTGGTCCCTATATCATTAGGTTGAGACAGGACAGATCTCATGGAGCCAGGGTTCCCCGCAGCACCCCAGATGTGGTCCCTGTGAAGCCAAGCCATCCATTCATTCTCTCTGCTTTCAAATCAGACTTAGGTGCAACGGTGCAGAGGCTGGGGGAGGCCCAGCTAGCACCTGCCTTTACTCCAGAAGGTCTTGGGTGCCTGGACCTGCCCTGCTGAGAGAAGCACCTGGCCTGCTCCACCTCATCATCCTCCTGGGTCCCTGTGCACTTCCACAGCACTTCAAGTGTCCCCGTGACCTGGGACCTCTGTCATGGAGCTGTTTCTATGTTCCTGGGCCCAAGAATTTCAGAGGTGCAGAGACCAACCATCTCTGAATTCTCTTCCTCCTCTTTTTCACTAGAATAGGACAGTGTGATGCAGTCAGAAAAATTTTGTTTCCTAGTTTTCCATACAGGTGACATTAAGGTGGATGGAGAATTAAGATGGCGATTAAGATGGATGGAAAAGTCGTTGCATAGTTACTGGGAAGTTTTTAAAAAGGTCTGATTTATCTGGTAGAGGTCTTGGCTCTTTCTCCCTCCCTCCTTCTTCCTGCCTGAAACTCATCCATGAAGGCTGGATTTTGAGCAGCCATCTTGTAACCATAAGGCAACCCTAAAGCTTGAATCACATGCTTAGGTTGAATGAGCAGACACAGAAGTGAGATATTGATCATACCGTGGACTCCCTAACCAGCCCTAGAACCTCTACTGCCAAACTTCCTGTTGTATTAGAAAAAAACTGTCTCCCTATTTAAGGAGAATCTCTTATTGAAAGTCAAATGCAGTTTCTACATGAGTCAGAGGGTATCATATTAGGCAGCTTTTTCAGGGAACATAATAACATGCGCCTGTTGACTTCCTTGAAAATTCTCACTGCCTAATGGAAATGACAATCACAAGACTTGCACTGAACAAGCAGCTCCCACGAACTAGGCATCAGGCCAGGTGCTTTATACTATGTGAGCATCCCAACCTCATGAACGTCCTGCAAGGCCAGAGCAATTATTTCCATTTTTGCAGGTTGGGGAGCTGAGACTCAGAGAAGATAAGGGAGTTCTCCAAAGTCACACAGCCATTAAGTAATGGGCTTGGCCCTGAACCAGACCTTGTGTGACCCTGAAGCCTCTCCACTGGGCTTTCTTTCACCCCAACCTCCACCTCTCACAACCCAAGTAACACAAAGTCCTTCTCAAATCACTGTGCAAACATGACTTGGGCCTACCGAAATGGGAAAAAATCCTGCCAATACTTCTGTTTACCCTCTTTTCGGGAAAATCGGAAGGCTAGAGTCAGAGTTTCTAACACTTATTTGGAGAAAAGCCTTTGATAAAAACTGGTTTCTGACTCAAGACTTCTAATTATTTGCTTTAGCGACTAAAACTGTGGAAAGTGTGACTTTGAAGTGCAAGGCAGACGGAGTAAAACGAGAGATGAGGTGAACGACAGCGTTGCAGGGTGCTGGCAGAGACTTTCCTGAGGTGCCCAGGCTGTGGTTAATTGCTAATAAACAGTTAGCTTGCTGTCATCGCCAATTCGCATTTGTGGTAGGGACCTACACTTACTTCTTTGGCACATACTTAATGGAAACCTGCTTTGTGCCAGACTCCATGCAGGACTCATTATATAGTGATACATAATACAGATGTAATTCCAAGCATATACATTTTATATAAATATAGTAAAATTTCATGAAATTCTTTCTCTTTCTTTTCTTTTCTTTTCTTTTCTTTTCTTTTCTTTTCTTTTCTCTCTTTTATTTTTTTTCTTAAGTTTTTGCCACAAGGCATATGTACTCCCCAGAGAAAAACAGACAAAGAGAAGGAAAGTAAGAAATTACCCCCCAGGAGGGATGGCCACACCACAGTCCCTTTTCCTCCATTCTCCTCTTGGGATTTTGGACATGCATGCATATGTGCCTGGTGTGATTTTCAAGCTGCCAGGTCCAGGACTTGAACTGCAGTCAGCCACGAGGTTGTCCAGGGCCTTCACCACCACACCATCTGCCGGCCCTTTCAGGAATTCTTTCAACCTTGTAAGAGGAAACTCCCTTAACTGCTCTCATAAACACAGTCCCGGGACCTGGGCACCTTCATCCCACTATATAGGATGAAATCACAGAGGTTCAGGGACTGGCATTACCTTGCTCCAGGGCTGCACAGCTAGGAAGTGCTCCCGTATTGCCCCAAAGGACTCCACCGGGTAGAGGCAAATTAACAACTCAGCTCAGGAAACTAAGTGGCAATTGCTTACTTTGCAGGCTGCAGAAAAAACATGATTTCTTTACTTCATGTTTTATCTTTAAAATTCATGCAAATTTTGCGTTATACTCTATAATATAACCATGTTATTTTTATATTAGAACAAATGTATTAAATTATTTATCAGCTGAATTATTTAACTTTTTCCTTCTGAAATTGACACGTTGGAAAGATGTGCCTTGTTTTTCTGCTGCGGCTTCACAAGCGCTCAGCACACAGCTGAGGAAGCACAAGGTCTGTCGGACTCCGGGGGGTGGGGGGCAAGTGTGAATACACATTTCAAGGACCTAGCTCAAGGTAGCACAGAACGCTTTTTAACAACGAACATAAGGTAAGGGGATTCTGTCACATCCATAACATTCACTAATTCATTCAACAAACCAGAGTCCACGATGTGCCAGGCCCAGTGCTTGCCACAGGCCGATCCCACCTCAAGCGGTTCCCCCAGCACCCAGGTTCCCCCAGGAGCAGCCAGCGAGAGCTGACCGGACAAATGTGGGGCTGGTTCCACCCTGCCCAAAGCCCATGCCAGAGGGTCTAATCTCACCGACCTTATGAAGGTACGGAAGCCTGTTGGTCCCAGCTTCATCGTCCCCTTGATTCCCAGGAATCGGATGAAGAGGTTGGCCATCCTGTCCACCAGGCGCAGGTAGTTGAACTGCTTTGCGTACTTGGGGAACACCTGCTTGAGGCAAATGGAGGGCAGGTGGGCTTCAGGACTGGCGTTGCAGTCCAGGGCACTGGTGGGCTCACTCTCTAGGGGATCATCCTTTCCGGCCTTTTCAAGCTGCTGAGACCTGAAGTACAGAAGGGATGAATGAATGAATGAATTGTACATTCTCCTTTGCTTGAGATTTCAAGCTTGGAAGGCAGGCATTACCATCATTGTTATTTTACAGACCAGAAAGCTGACCTCAGAGAAATGACCTGTCCAAGCTGACACAGGGCGTCACCAAGTCTGGACTTGAGAACAGAGCAGAGCCAGGCCTAGAAACTTCGCTGCTTCTCTCCTATCACCCCGCATTCCCCATGTGGAAAACTTCCTTCACTGTATTCACGATTCAAGAGAATACTCTATTATAACAGCCTGGGTTTGATTTTAAACTCCTACTTATGGGTAGTAATTGAATAATTAAGAAATATAAAAATCTCATTGAGGGCTGGCAAGAAGCCACAGGCACCGTTCAATGAACAATTTGCAAAGATGCATCCGTTACCCAATTCTGGGAATAGGGACAATTACATTTGCTGGCTTAACTGTTTTCTTATTTGGAATTCATACTCAAAAAAAAGATCATAGTGTCGTGATTTCTTAGTCTAGATATTTTATTCTAAAGTTATTCAGATATTCAAGAAAAGGAGCAGCTACTAGCTCTCAAATAGCCCCTCTAGCCCAGAATACTCTTCTCTACTCCAGACCATATTGTAACTTCCCTTCACCCCGAATCTGCATTCCCCATCTCCTTGAATGTCACCACCATCTGCCAGTCACCCAAGCATGAAAACTCAGAATCAATGCCAACTCCTCCTCTCCCTCTGCCTCCACAGCCACTTCTGCCTCCTTAGTCCTGGGCCCTCCTCCTGCTCTGTCCCTGCCTGGGCCTGGCCTGTAGCAATGGGTCCCTGCCTCCTGCTTTGCTCATCCATAAATCTGTCCTCTGCACCGGAACCTGAGTCCCTCCTTTCAAAGCATACCCGGTTGGGTCACTTACTTCCTGAATCTCTTCAGGGGGCCCCTCTCCTCCCCACCACCTCTACTTCTCATTCTGGGACCCAAGGTCTCAAGGCCAGGCCAGGCAGAAGGCAGACCCTGAGCAGCACAAAGGAAAACTTCTTTTAAAGTTCAACACTGTGTAGGGTTCTGGGGAAATAAATCCCCTCTTCCCCCCCAAAACAGGAGAGGCTCTATTCATCCAAATGTTCCCACGGGGGTGTCATTTTCCTTCAGTTAAAATGGTTTTGTCATCATCACCTTGAACTGAAGACTGTAAATAAGTCAGGTAGTTACTTTTCTGATGAAACGAAATAACCTTGCAACATTAAGGTCACAGAAAGAAAGATGATAAAAAGGCAACAGTCTTCCTGGAAATTAGCTCTTAGATGACTGGGTAAGTGGCAATCACCGACTTCCTAAGCACTCAGTCAGCTTTTGTTAAAGGGAAAATTTGGAACTGTACACTTTGAATACACTTGATGACAATGAAGACAGCTCAGAGAACTCTTCAATCAACAGGATGGTCCCACATCGCGGTCGCATTTGCTCTTCCCCTAACTCCATGAAGTGGATGACTGTCATCATACCCTGGCTCCAGATGAGGAAACCGAGGCTCTGCTTTACCCTGGCAGAACTAGAATTATCAGTCAGTTCTAATCCATCCCCAGGGGATGGCCATGCCACAATCCCTTCTCTTTCATTTTCCTCTCGAGATTTTGGGCATACGTGCTCATGCACATGGCATGAGTTTCAAGTCACCGGGTCAGGTCAGTGACTTGAGCTATGGTTGGCCATGTGGGAGTCCAGTGTCTTAGCCACTGTGCCACCTGCTGGCCCCTGTTTTTTATTTTTAAAGAGGGATTTTAATTTTTTTAAATGATTACAGTAGTAAATCATGCTCTTGGTAGACATTTTGAGAAATGCATTTCAAATATTTTTATTTATTTCTTTTTTATTGCCAGCAGGTGTGTACACTCACCAAAGAAAGGACCGCAGCATGACCTGACCCTCGACCCTCCTTCTCCCCTCTCCCCCACTCCCCACTCTGTTGGGGCATGATCACACTGTGATCCTGTCCCTCCATTTCTCCTCCATCCCATTAGGATTTGTGGCATGTGCACACACGTGTCTGGCTTGTAATGCTGGGGATGGGATTCGAGCCATAGGCTGCCATGTGGGATCTGGCTTTCTAGACACAGCACATAACTACTGAACTTTGTGAATGACTTGATAAAGTTTGTTTTTTCAGATTTATTTATTTATTGTTATAAGGCATTTATTGTTATAAGGCACATAAGTTCACTGGAGAGAGAAGAATGCAGTGAGAAGTTACCCACCCCCTTCTGCAAAGGGGGAGAGCCATGCTGCAATTCCTTCTCCTCCATTGTCCTCTCAGGATTTTGTTCACACATGCAGTTGTCTTGCATAATTTTCAAACCTCCAGGTCCAGGACTTGAACCACGGAGTCCGCTAAGTGGGATTCAGTTGTTGGCTGAATCATACCACCTGGTGACCCAATACATGTATGTTCTTTCTTTTCTTTTTAAGAGAGATTTTTGCTATAGTGCATATGGGCTAGCCAGAGAGACAGAAAATGAGAAATCAAGCCCAGGAAGAGGGCCATACTGCAATCCCTTCTCCTCCATTCTCCTCGTGGGATTTTAGGCATGCGTGCACATGTGCCTGACGTGTTTTAAGCTGCCAGGTCCAGAACTTGAACCATGATCGACTACATGGGAGTCCAGCGACATAATCGTTATGCCATCTGTGCTGCTCCCTAATATATGTTTTAAAAGTCTATTTCTTTCTTCCGTGAGGGTAATGGAGAGATGGATATAGGCACCCTTAATAAGGTCTTCATGCCACAACCCAGCCCAGTCTAGCTAGCCAGATCACAGGCATAGACAGTGAGGTCCAGGATACTCACCCAGGACCTGTTGCATGTGGGCTCATTGGTGTTAACTACTGTGCCCTGAGAACTCTGTTAACAAGTCAAAATCATTTGTAATCCCCCAACTTGAAGATAACACTATTAACATTTTCTTCTCTCATCTATTGGGTCATTGGAAAAGTCATTCTATGTTTTTCTATGCAAAAATGCGTCATGGCTTTTCCGCCAACCCAATCTATTATGAAGTTAAGATTACATTACATACATTTTAAATCATTCTTTTTATACTTCTCATCACAAGTATCTCCCCATGGCATTAAAATGTTTTCGTGAGCACATTTCTCATACATATGTAAAATTCCGAATAACACCTGAACCGTAATGCAATGAACCATTCCTCTGCAGTTATTTAGTGTCTACGTGGCCTGTCACTTGACTAAATAGAGTGATCCGTCTCTCTCCGCAGTATAAAATGTCACAGAGACAAGTAGCTTTGGAGATCATTTTGTCCAATGATATCATTCATTTAAAAAAAAAAAACCTGTAATAAAATCCACATAACACAGAAGTCACCATTTCAACCACTTAAAAATGTACGACTCAGTGGCATCTAGTACATTCACAGTGGTGTATAACGATCACCTCTTCTAGTTCTGGAACATTTTCACAAGGATGCCGTTGTAGAGAAGAAATATAAACCCAGGCAGATAGGGACATTCGCGCCAGTGGGTCATTCAATCAGCGCATGTCCAGGGGGGTGGCCTTAGCTTGGGTTTCTCTAGTGATGGGGACCCTGCCACCTCTGGGACTTCTCGGACTGAAGAGGTTTCCCCATTGGCATGTCAGAAGGTGCCCCCATCTGCCCCCAGAGCTGTGCAGAACTGTAGTGTGTTTTCTCTTTTCCATGACAGCCTTTCACACCTGCCCGCCCCAACGGTTGCTGCATTTACTGGCGAGCTACCATCCCCCACCTGAATCCTAATTAATATTGTCCAGATGAAAAGGGCCTTCAAAGCCACAGATACCATTTTCATGGACTGGCAACTACAAATGCAGGGGGACGAGGCTTTACTTGACTGGAAAAAGGCACTAAAGATAGAGCTGATATCTAAGAGGAAATAACACAATGAGAAATGGTGTCTTTGCTGGAGATAATTCCAATTATCACACTGAGATGCAAGCCATCACAAATACTGTAAAATCCTGTTTTTACTTAATAGCATTTTAATGGAAATGTCGGGCTTATGAAACAGAAGTGACTGGTAAGGAAAATATAAATCAAGCTTACTAGTCCTTCGGGATCATTTTTTTTTTATTGAATTTGGTATATTCTTGATTCATTAGAATAGGGGAAAGAATCCCGGCATGTTTTATCCATTATTATTTTTCAAATAAAATGGAATTCTTTTTTTATTAAAACTCTTGTGAAAAACAAAAATCACCTACCTCCATTCTGACTGGAATTAAAAACTGCGGCTGTTTATCAGGGAAGTGCTCTACGAGAGGTCTCCACAAAGACCATGGATGGGCCAGCGAGTGGCCCAGTGGTTAAGGCAGGTGGATCCCACATGGCCAACTACATGGCTCAAGTCTCAGACCCGGTGACTTGAAAAACACGTCCCAAAATCCCGAGAGGAGGACTGCAATGCAGCCATTCCCCTTGGGGGTTGATTTCTCACTTTCTCTCCCCCCACCCCTAATGCTCTGATGAGCATGTGCACTCTATAGCAAAAAACTGGGGGAAAATAAAAGGTCGTGGAAAATGTGCATTATGAAGAACTTGCTAGAGATGTTCTCGGGTCCCATCCCAGACCTACTGGTGCAGAAGCCGGGTGAGCAGGCCAGCCGTCCGTTCCAACAAGCCCAGTGGTGATTTTGATCCCGACCCAAGTCTAGGGGTCACTGGTCTGTGGGGAAGATGGGGGTCTACACTAGGTGTCTCAGAGCTGGGGAGCTGACACAGGAGACACTTTGCATGCAAAGATTTGGTAACTACTGCTTGAACTTGGGGGACAAAAAGGGAGAGAACGCCCAGGAGCACGTTGCTGGCCAGTCCATGGCTTGGTAGGACAGCCTGCTGGGCAGAGGCACTGCATGGCGACAGCGGGCCCCTTCCCCTGCTGCGTGGCCAAGACACTTTCTTTCAGTCACTGGGATTTCAGATGTGCATGTATCACGTTGGATTCCTGAAG